ATTTCAAGCTGATACCAGTTTATTTTTGTTTATTTTAGTTTTAAAAATTTAATTTTACATATTTTTCGCACAATTATGATAATTATTCGATGTTCCGGGATGTTCCGGAATGTTCCATGTTCCTGGTTTTATCGACGGCCGCGTTGGAGGTTTTCCTTTGCTTTGAAACGAAACGAAACGAAACGAAACATAAACAGATCCTCCACGAAAACATCCACGCAACGCGCGAGTAACTTATCCGCAGAAGAACTGGGTACAATGTCTGATTACCTTGGGTATAAGGCCTACATGGGGGATTCACTCTCTTACCTTGATAATCTCTTGGTTTTGATCAAATAATCAGCCCTTACAGAAAAACACCGATATCCTTTCCTAGTTTTCTTCTCCCGTCAGAATCAATATTAGAGGGACTCCAAACACGATCAGAGAAGCATTCAGCCGGCCGATAATGCCGGTTGGCCGTTCTGTCAATCGGTCAATTAGGAATCAGTCCAACATTTATTTAAGATCTTGATGTGCACCTCGTTGGGAGTTGAATCTAACGTGTTGATTCTATGCATTTCGAACTTTAAGGGACAGACATACTCGACAAATGCAATGCAGTAAGCCATTTTGGATTTGTACCTAAAAAAATGCTTTGCGTACAAACGAACGTCGTTCAATCACGTCCCCAGGTCCTTAACGAGTACAGGAGAAGCTCTGAGGAAATCAAAATTACAGAAGTACTGTATAAGATGAAATTCTTTCGGGCTAGTAGATCATAGGTACAGCTTGCCCCGAAAACTGGTTTTCTTTGAAGCTTGCCGATACTCAAAGTATGAAATGTATTACATTTACCTTTCTATTCACAAGTTTGCTCATAGAACACCTTGATTTATTCTTTAAATAAAGTTAAAGAGGATTCAATTTTTCCAAAATTCAAAAATGAGTTCCGTTTTGATTTATAACTTTATATTTATAGGTGGAACACTTGGGTTGTTTTAAACTGATTGTTACTACTGATAAAGTAACGAGTTCTAGCAAAGAACTGAATGTGTATTATACATGTAGGCAGTACTTTATAGGTAAAGATCTATTTATATGTAGGTGTGACAATCGTCCTATCAAATCTCTAACAAAGGATTCGGGGGATTAGGGGGACGGTTCAAAGTACAAAATCTACGTAAAATATACACTTGTTTGATAATAGGGTAATATTTAGGCATTTTTTTCATTACTTCGTTTTTTATCAGTGTTAATATTCAAGCATAAAAATCAAACAAACAGGAGTTTGGTAATCGCATGTTTGATTGAGAACCACTGTTTACCGTTCGGTAATCGAACGTTCGATTTTGTTTGATTGTCAACCGTTCGGCAATCGAACGTTCGATTTTCTTCAATCGACCAAATTTTAGAGTGAGTTCGATTATATGTTCGATTGCCGAATCCAATCGAATTATCGTTGTTCAACTGGGTTCGATTACCGAACGTTCGATTAGATACACCGGGAAATGTTCAAGCCATTGAAATAATTTGCGGAAGAACAAAAACACTCCTCGAGCATGAAACTTTCAGTTAAAAGCCGCTGTCAAAGCGGTCGATGGATCGAATTATACACCCACCATTGTTGAGAGTGAAAGATCAGTTACATGTAATCGCTTTGGCGGCCATTTTGTTCACAATGGTCAAGCAAATGTCGCCCCCTCACAAAAGACCCAGGTCAGCGAAATAACCACCCCAAAAAATGTTTACAACGTATCGACTGACTTACTGACCGACTGACCAAGCGAGCGAATTATTTCTTCCTATAACTCACTCTAGCCGCGTTATCACTCGTTAAAAATTGAGGGTTTTCAGGTACACTGTTTGCAGAGTTTCAATTTCATTTTGAATCAACTTTCATTCCTGTGCAATGTGACCTATTCTTGGTCATGAGTCAAAACTCTACTTTATATTTGTCTTCCACAAGTTTTATTTTGTCATTCAACAGAAACACCACGTTAGCCAACCAAGTACATTTTATTTTAGTTAAATGTCCCAAGAACAAGAATTTTGTTTAAAAGAATTCTTATACTTATCTTACATCTTTTACACTGTGTACATGTAAAAAGAATTAACAAGGAAAAGAAAAGTTCAGAAACTAGAAGCGATTGAGTCCAGTGTAAGAAAAGGTCATGTTTTCATTGGCTCTGGTTGGTCCACTTGGTGTCCATGCTTTTCCAATTCTGCCCTGATAAACAAAGAAGAAAAATTCTTCAGTCTTCTTTTTTGAAAACAATCATCTCACATTACTGAAGTAAACATCGACATTGAAACGTTGAACAGCCCTTCTTAAGGCCAGAAGTCACAGCCCAAAGGATAAAGCCTGAAACAGTTTGAAAAATGGTCAAATAGTACATGCTAAAAAATTGGTCTGAATTTCTGAATCTGCTAAAAATGCTGGTCAGAGTTTTCAACAAATTTCTAATTTCTGTAAATCCGAAACTATGATATGCTTTAAAAATCTTCTGATTTGTTACCCGTCTTAAAGAAGAATAATTCAATTTCAATTGAGATAGTAACAAAAGATAACTGATAACAAAACAAATTCGAAAGTAAGCCCCTCCAAATATAACCACCCAAAATCGAAACGGAAAAAAGCCTCCTATAATAAGACCCCCAAATATAAACTCCTGGGGGCTTATATTTGGAAATTGCCCTCAAATACAAAATAAACCAAAGCAAACCAAACATATACTATTATTATGATGCCTTTTTATTTATCTTAGAATGATTCCGTGCACTAAAGCATTGTGGTCAGAAATTGTCAAAATTTATTGTCTTTTATGATTACCACAGGTCAGCACACACGAGGCGACTAGTCCCTGCAACTAGTCCCCTGAAGAGTTTACACGAACGGACTGGTCGCAGGGACTTGTCCCAAGAACAGTCCACATGAAGCATTTCAAGGAACAAGTTGCAGGGACTTGTCCCCAAAAAGTCCCATTCTGAACTCATGGGACTAGTTGCAGGGACCAAATTTTTGGTCCCTGTGACTAGATTTTGTGGCAAAAATGGCTAGTTCACATGATGGGACTTGTCCCCACGACTAGTTGCAGGGAATAGTCGCAGGGAATAGTCCCCTTGCGTGTGCCCACCTTCAAGTTTATTGGCATTGTGTTTGAAGTTGGCATGTCAAGAATTTCTGGTCAACACATCAATATTACCATTTGCACATATTTGAAAAATTGTGGGCACAAATGTGAAGCACAGCTGTCTTCCAATAATAAGCCTGAATCACCAAGCCCCAGGGCTTGTTTTCAGAATTTTACAGTAATTTTAATTTTAAGACTACAAACTATTGTCATTTCTCCCTCCTCCTGTTCAATGTTCGGTAGAGAGTTTATCATCATAAACAAACATTTAACAGATGGAAACAAAATTGATAATTCATAACAGGAAAGAGGGATTCAAACTCAGCTTTGAAGTCAAATATCACTGGAGGAAAGCAAGGAAGTTTTGCCTAAAATTTCCAGTCAGTACTTAATTATGTTTTATGCCCCATATGGAAAGAAGGATCTGAAGAGCCAATACAACAAAACTATACTTATGCAATCACAAGCATATGCACAACTCAGGGGATTGCTTTCCAAATGTGGCTGATAGTGGTATTTCTTTTGGTAAACTTTAAGTGCTATTTGTTTTAAACTTTTAAACTACAGACACAACTATTTTCAGGGTGCAATAATTGTTTGTTACTGGACAGGAGCTAATGCTTTAGGTTTCAAAAAATCATCCTTGAATTACAACCCATGACCTAATAGGTGTCAAATTTTAGGATCACAGGCCAAGTGATGTACCAAACAATGTTTCAAGCCCATATGTTTCCTGAAAGAGTCAGGCCTTCTGACAGGGTGTGGGGTGTGGGTGTGGGGTGTGTTTCATAAAACAGCTTTCTTGTTGGTAGTAGAGATTCTTATGAACTTTTCAGGCTATTTACCTCTCAAGAGAAAATTAATAAGAAATCTTGACCGAAGTGCTCCAGCGAATATAATAACAACAACAGCACTGATCAAATTACATTTGCACAAAATTTGCATAAACTTTCAGGTTGTGTGTTTTACAGATAACTTGCGAGAATTTGCGCACCTTAACACAGTTTATGAAGAACTAATCAAGCTACATATTTTAACTGATTGAAACACAGCAATAATTAGATTGTGAACTCAAGATTTCTATGAGGTAATAGTTGATGAGGCTTTTCGCCTCATCAACTTTCACCTCATGGAAATCTCCAGCAAATAATCTAATTGTTTTAGTAGAAATCTAACCGAAATTTACCTCAAATAACTGTTTCCAATTACTTCTTGATTTGTTAATAAACTTTGTGCATGAGAAAGACCACTCTGACTGAATTGTCTCTTTAAATTGAAGTTGTGTGCAAGTGCGCACTATTTTTTCAATACTTTCAAGTTTATTAAAGTCAAGAAAACATTAATGTCCTTCTTTTAGTCTTCTTAGGAATTTAATTATCCATTTGCATTAAAATGTTCTTACAGAACTTTGGAACACAGAAAAAAACATTGCCATTTCATAGACAACCTCCAGTCACTGCACACCAATGGCTGACAGTGTACGATCACTCAGCCAATCAGATTGCAACATTTGCATTTGTGTTCAAGTAGAATTATCTTAATGTATTTTACAAGATAATATTATACTTTAACTACGGCATTCTATTCTGGTTTCATATGCAACAACTTAAGTCATTTCAAATGATTTTATTTAGATGGACTCAGTCAGACACAGTTTGCTAAAACAATTGGCGATTGCTTGGCGTATTTGAACTACTAGTGAAATAAGTTTGCTAAATTTTCATCAATGCAGAACTTCCTCACTGTAGGACTTGGCAAGAACCCTTGAGATTGAAGTTTTGTTCATCCAAAAATTGGATAATCCTGCACGATTCCCTGCACAATTGATGTTTTTTCCCCCACAATTTGCCTCCTTAATACCAAACAATTTTTTCCCTCGCCCTGTCA